TTGGTTCCAACTTATAGTTACCTTGTATAGGATTTCCGAAGCTGTTCATTTTTGTGGGAGCAGAAAAACCTCATCTTTCTCCTGCAGAGTGGCTATTGGGCTTGTGGTTAGCAGTCCAGTGCTTATCCTACAGATCCACCACAATCCCAAGATCACGGTATATTCCTCAATTTATTTATGATTTCAACTTTTTCTCACTCATGTTTTATCATTTTCTATAAAGACTTTTAAGATTTTCGTCAGATTTCTTCTTTAGAAAATGTTATTGTAAGTGGTATGCTTTAAAATTTTCAGGTTATTTATTTATTTTTGAGGGAGCTTTGGTAGCCTGCGTCTGTCAATGAATTTGCACATCTCATAGAAAAAGGTGAGAATAATGTAATTGATATCATTCCCTTATTAAATGTTAGTATCTGAAGAATTAAAAAAAAAAAAAAAAAAAGACATGCAGCCAACACAAAACTGATGGTAGAACAGATTATTATTTTTTTAGAACAGAAGATTCTTGTTGAAAGAAAAGCCTACAGAAAAAAGTGGATTGCTTGAATTTCAAGATGAGGTTTTCTGCTCCCGTAAAGATTTACAGCCTCAGAAACCCTGTACAGGGTCACTATGAGTCAGAACTGACTCCACGGCACATAACAGCAGCAAACCATGGAATAACAGCATCCTCAACCTGTTTATGAGTGGAGACACAATTATCAGTGCCTTTAAAATTAGTCAGACTTGAGAACTAATTTAGAAAATTCAAGCTTATGATTTTCTCTAGAATCACTCTCCATACCAAATACCTTAGGCTGGCTTCTCTAGAGAAGCAAAAGCAGTGAAAATTATATTTGTTGTTAAGTGCTGTCAAGTTTATTCCAATCCATAGCGACCCTGTATAGGGTTTCCAAGGAGCAGCTGGTGCACTTGAACCACAGACCTTGCAGTTCAAATGACTTTGCCAGGATGGCCACACTTTGTCTCTCATACTTTGGATATATTGTCAGGAGGGATCAATCACTGGAGAAGGATATCATGTTTGGTAAGGTCAGAGCAAAAGAGGAAGACCCCCAGTGAGATGGATTGGCCAGGTGGCAGCATCAATGGGCTCAAGCGTGGCAACAATTGTGAGGTTGGCCCAGGATTGGGCAGTGCTTCATTCTGTTGTTGCTGAGAGTCAGTACCGACTCAATGGCACCTAACAACAACAACAATGACATATAAGACTTGAGCATGCTGTAGGATAAGTACTGGACTGTGAACACAAGGTCAGAGGTTCAAGGGCACCAGTCACTCCATGAAAGACAGATGAGGTTTTCAGCTCCTGCAAAAATTTACAGCCTCAGAAACCCTATACAGGATTGTTGTAAGCCACAATGAACTATATGGCACGCAACAACAACAACAACAGCAGCAGAGGAAAACAAAGAAGATGTTGGGACCAGAAGTGTTGAATTAGGAAGATGAATCTATATAGGTGACAGGGACGGTTTCTTCTCTGGAACATTAAGAGAGAATTCAATGAAGTTAGGGGTCCATACGGACACATGGGGGTCAAAGTTTTCTGGGCAGGAGAATTAACAGTGCAAAGACCTTGAGGTGAAAGTGTGCCTGGAGGGTTAGTCAGACAGTGAGGAGTTCAGGTGATTGGAACACAGTTAGTCAGGGGGAACCGGGAGGAGAGAAGTTTCACTGGTGATGGGCTGGGTAGGTATAGCAATGTTTCTCAAGCACAGGTCCCCTGCAAACTTGTTAAAATGCATATTCCATGATGATCTGGGTGAGGTTTCTGTGCTTCTGATAAGCTCTCCTTGTTGTTGATGCAGCTCCTTTTAAGAGAAGGATTTTAATAGTGTTTTAGTTATATGTTTTAACCCTTTTTAAATCACTGTTCTCAGTCAGCACTGTCCTAACGTTTCCTTTGTGGTGTGCTCCCAGAACATGTAGGCTGAATGATTTTGTGCTGTCTTGTAAAGCTTTAGAAGAAGTAGGCAAGCTGGAAAGAAAACCAGAAGGCTCTGGTAGCGTACTGGTTATGAGTGGGGCTGCTAACCTCAAGGTAGCAGTTCGAAACTACCAGCTGTTCCACAGGAGAAAAACGAGGTTTTCTACTCCCATAAAGATTTACAGCCTCGGAAACCCTATACAGGGTCGCTATGAGTTGGAACCAACTCCATAGCCCCTAACCACTACCATCATATGCCTCTGAGATGCCTCTGAGGACAGAAAGTATCTGGCGCCCAGATGTCTGCAATAAAACCACTAACTCTGTTTTAAAAAAACCGAGTACCTAGTGTAAGGGACTTTGAGCTGGTGAATCACAGATTGAACTCCCTTACAGGAAACAGGAAAGTCATTACATTCTGAGAAAGGGATGTGACAATATCAGATTGAGAAGGGGGAAAAAAGAGAAGAGGAAAGAGTTAAGAAGGAAAAAAAAAAGAAAAAGAAAAACTGGCATAAATGTTAGCTGCCAAATACAATTGCACTGGGGATGTGCTGCTCACTCTGGGGGAGTGCACACCACCATCCATGGAAAGGTAGGAACAGGTGGGGCTGACTATAGGGGTGGGGCTGAATACCTGCTCTTCAGGAATCAAAAAAGGGGGACCGTCAGAGGAAGAAAAAATTAAACAAAGAAAAATAAAATTAAAAATAAGGTGGGGGGAGAGAAGAACTAAGAAAGAAAAAAAATATTTTAAAAGAAAAAAGGCAACACAGTACTGGCAAAATTGCTAGTCTTCAAGCATGGCTACTTGGGAGCCTATGCTGGCTCAGTGTGAGTGCACCTCTAGTAGGGGGAGTTGGAGAGGGTGGCTGTTCTGTGAAATGCAACACACACACACAAAGAAAAGAAAGATAAACAAAACAAAACAAAAAGCACTGGCATTGAGGGTTGGGGTCTGACAGAGCACGGGGTGGGTAGATGAGAGGCCCCATCTATGGTTACAGGGAGGTTGTGCAAGGTAAGGAGCGAGGTCACACCTGTCTGGTCACCAATTACCCATGTGGGTGTTAGTGCAGTCTGGGCAAGCAGAGCTAGTTATCTGGTTTGGCTCCTAGTGGAATGCTGCTTGGGATCATTCAAAATGACCTCACTGTGCTAGCTGGCATTTTACTGCTTCTCATTCACTACTTTTGTTCAGTCTTTTCTCATTAATTTGCTTCTTTATCCTTGCTTTGCATCTCTGGGTTCCAGAATTGGCATCCATATGCATTTCACTTGGTTTTCTGAGTCTTCGTTGTAGAAGGTTTGGATAGTGTATCTGCCTAGTCTTTCATTTTGAATCTTCCTTCAGTCTAGGTATTTTATAGACATCATCTAATTAATTCTTTACTTTAGCCCCTGTAATTGAGGTGTTACACCTGTTTTCCAGAAATGGAAACGGAATCATAGAAAGGTTAAGGAACTTGCCCAATGTCAGTTTAAAACCAGGTCAGAGATGCCAAAGTGATTAGCAAAAATTCTCATCACCTTTAATTATCTAAGGTTTGCATAAGTTGTACTTCTGTGGCATATTCTTCTCTGGGAAAGAGGTGACCTTTCCCCATCCTCTACCCCTCTGTGGGGCTGGGGTTAGGAGCTGGGTGGCATGAAAATGGACATCAGACCTTGGACTTAGGCCCTTCCACAGCCTCCTGGCATCAGATCCCCGAATCAGCCTGTTTATCCCGTGGACATGTATGTGTCTATGTGTGTGTAGGCAGCTAGGCGGGGTGAAGGTTTAATTCCCATTTGTGCACAAATGATTTAATGCTTTAATTCCACTTTTTGAGAGACGGAACCTTTTAGCTGTGCCTCTGCCCGGGCTCCTTCTTACGCTCTGTGAGGGCTCCTTCCATCTCACAGGCTTCCTTGTGGTGCCCTCTTTCCAAGCTGCCTGAGTTGTTCGCAGCTTTGGCAGAGCCCCTCGCCCAGCCGGTACCTATGCCAGATGTTCTTAGAAGACCGCAAAAACTGGAACCAATACAGACTCATGGGTAGGGGGAGGTGGGAGTATACTTTGATCTCGTCAGGCTCCAAATCCCGCTCCTCCCGCGTGCCCCTGTTACCCCCTCTCCAAGCTTTCCATTCGTACCTGCTTTCTCTGGAGGGAGCAGAGGGGGGTCAGATGGCTGCGCGCTGCCTTGGCCGCGACGTCTGGCGGTTCTTGGGCAGCCAACGCCGGCGCTCTGGGCCGCTCCGGCCGCTGCTCTGGGCTAGTGAGACCAGTGGGCGGACCTCTGGGAGCCCGGGCAGAGGTACAGCCGCGGCCCCTCCGCGGGACTCATACTTGGAGCTCAGTGCGCTGGCGGCCCGGGAACCAGCCGCCTTCTGGGGGTCGCTAGCGCTGGACACGCTGGTGTGGGACACTCCCTACCACACCGTGTGGGACTGCGACTTCAACAGTGGCAAGATTGGCTGGTTTCTGGGAGGCCAGTTAAACGTGTCAGGTGAGTGGTCTAGGGGAACCCAGGGTCCTCAGGGGCCAAAGACTCGCGCTCGCGGTCAACATCAGCAGTTGCAGGTCTAGGCAGATCGCAACTGGTGTTTTGGCTGCCCCACAGGAGGACCATCTCCAACTATACTGCCCCACCCGCTCTGATTCATAACTCCATGATACCCTTCCTCGTGGGTTTCCTCCACCCACCCTACCCCCATAGACTCCAGTAACCGACAGCTGTACTCTCATTTCTAATCCATGCTCCCTGCTCAAGGCAGCATTAGATTGGGAGTCCAACTGTTAGCCTTTCCCCTCCCAGGCGGCTCACAGATGGCTTTCTTCAAAGTTTAATGACTGTTTAATGACGGTTTAATGAGGGTTCTATGCCATCACTGGAGTCTTGGTGTGGCGCCATAGGATAAGGTTGGTTTGAACTACAAGGTTGGAATTTCAAACTCATCAGCTGCTTCTTGGAAGCAGGGTTGCTATGAGTCATAACAGACTGGACTGCACTAAACAACACAACAGCATGCCATCACCAAGAGCGAACGTGCAGAGAACAGTGAATGGGCAACACCTGGGCTAGGCTGGGGTGGAGGATGCTCCCGTTGGAAGAATCTGAGCTCCCCCACTCCAGTAACTAAGCCCAGAAGGGAAAATAAAAGGTTGTCACCACCAGCTGCCTAGATGGGAGCAGTGTTTCCTGAAGACAAACCCTGCTGAAGTAAACAAAGCAGAGCAGGAGGGGAGGAACAGGTTCCAAAATCATTTATCTCCTTGCTCCAGGCCTGTAGGTGAGCAGGAATGCATGGCAGTAAATTCCAGTCTTCAGCCTCTGCTGTGTCCTCAAAGCCTCAATGCCTGCTTTAGGTCTGATTTCTTGAGGTCCCATAAAGAAGCTACATTGTCCAGTCTCATTCTCTGACATTTGCTGTGACTAAATCCACCACTTTGGCTAAGATTTGGGGTTGAGGAGACATTCGTTGTGTGCCCCACCTCAACCTAAAATGCTACGTAGTCAGCAAGGAGAGAATAGAGTCTGAACAGTGGGCCTGGGACCTGGGGAAGGGGCAAGGATGGGTGCTGAGCTGTTCAGGAGAATGGGGATAAGAGTTAGATGGTGTGTATTCAAGAAAAGAACTGAAGGTTTTCATGTCAGCCTAATATTCTGGCCAAGACCAGAACTTCAATGGGGTTCATCTGGCTTCTTACTGAATACCACGACTTCCAGGCCAAGTTATTCCACTCCTAGCCTCAGTTTCCTCTTGTGTAAAATGGAGATGGTAAGGCTTCCTCCCTAAGCTAGTTGGAAGAATATGTTTCTGTAAGATGTCTAACAGGCCCAGCCTAGACCCTAGTACTTATAGCAATAATGTTGTTGTTGTTAAGTGCCGTCGAATTGGTTCCAACCCACAGCGACCCTGTACAGGGTTTTCAAGGCTGTAAATCTTTACGGGAGCAGAAAGCCTCATCTTTCTCCTGCGGAGCAGCTGGTAGTTTCGAACTGCTGACCTTGAGGTTTGCAGCTTGATTCATAAACACTACACTACCAGAGCTCCTTTATAGCAATAATAAGAGGTAGTACTTGAAATTAATTATATTAAAAATAGCCATAAAATTACATGTGGTATCTTGCTGTTGTTTTTAAAACAAATAAATTTAAGGAAACTTTGATTAGATTTTTTTAATAGTGTAAATTACTTTGCTGCTTAATTAAAATAAGTCACTTACTAGATAAGTGTTTTCTTTAAAATTTAGTCAGTAGCAAGCATACATGAACTAGTGGGAAAATAGCCCCTGAGGTTTACAGAGTTGGCAGAATGTGCACTTAAAGGGGAAAAGGAATAGGGCAGAAAGTCTGTAGTTCCTAGGGAAGTGTCCTGACTAGGAGATATAGGGCAACTGGTTGACCCCTGCATGTCTGCAGCCTTTTACTATCAGACTATGGAGGAACCTATGAGGCAAACAGAAAGGACCTGAAACTTCTTCTATTAGGTCTGCGTGTGGTTAGCAAGCAATTCTGCCTCCCTCTTCCTTAACTTATTCCTTCTAAAGATGTGCCTTTACAGCTACTGGGACCAGAGACTAAACTTCAGAAAACTGCCTTATAGAAAACTAATTTTTTTGTAGCATTTTCTTACCTCAAATGTGTTCACCCACTCATCTGGCTAGGAATGTCTCTGCGCATTGCCAGTGTCTACAGATGCAGAGGTGACAATATGAAAAAGGTACCTGGCCAGGCCACAATTGCTTTAGAAAGTTATAGAATGGGTGTGGATGTAGAGTCTTTGGGAAAGTGAGAAGCATAGTGAAAGGAGGTGGGGGTAACCTCTCTGAGGAAGTAGCATGAGTGGCATGGAGGCTGGGACCCACCAGATGGGTGGGCAACATAAGAAAATGGAAACAGTCCCCCACAATGAGGTAGAAACCAGTGCAAAGACTTGGAGGCAGGCAGGCAGGACTTGGTGACCACAGGGTGGCAGGAGCAGGACACATGGGGAGGGTATATTACACAGGCCAGGAGCCCAATACCACCTATATGCAGAGAAGGTTGTTTAGGCGCCAGAACGCTACCCTTCAGGTTCAACTCTGATCTTCGTAGATCTGATGTCAGCCCCTCCAGGAAAGATGAGCACACCACTGCTCTCAGGGCAGCCAGGTGACCCTGGGTTCCTGTCCATCTTCCTCAGTTATGCCTTCTGCTTGATGTAAAAAGGGCCCAGGATACTTTGCAAGGGTCTCTTAACTGAAGTTAAGGTTGTCAAATTTAGGTGTGCAAAAACCTTTGCCCACTTTTGGTGGAAGGCCCTGGCCCTCACAGGTCTTGGACAGCTGGAAGCAGTTTCCTGTCTATACTTGAGGGAAAGACTCAGCGTGAGAGCAAGTGTGTTAATTGTTGTTGTTGTTGTTATGTGCCATCGAGTCGGTTCCGACCCATAGCGACCCTGTATAGGGTTTCCGAGGGTGTAAATCTTTATGGGAGTAGAAAGCCTCATCTTTCTCCCACGGAGCAGCTGGTAGTTTTGAACCTCTGACCTTAAGGTTCGCAGCCCGATTCGTAACCACTACGCTACCAGAGTGTTAATTAAAACAGCCTTTTTCAGATATGAACACACACATCTCCTGGGTCTTCTCACAGTGTGTGTTCTAATTCAGCAGGTCTAAGTGAGGCTGAGAATATGCATTTGTTACCTCTCTCAGGTGATGCCTGAAGCAGCCAGATGCTAAAGAAATCAGTGTGCACCATTAGTAGCTCTCCCTTTCCCCTTCAGAACTTGTACTGATTGGGTCTGGCCTCTCCCCATCATCCTGTGAGACTCGCTCTATGCATCCAATGGACCAGGTCTTACCTCTCTCTTCCATGCATCTTGAAAGGCCTGACCTTTCATACATCTTGCTGACTGGGTTGGACCCTTCCTAGTTGTCTTAAATTGTTAATTTTTAGCTAGGTTGTCAGGGATTTCCAGACCTGTCCAGTCTTATCACCTTATTCCACTGAATTGGTCACAAAAATCTAGTCCTTCCAAGGTAGCTGATAAAAGCAATAAGGCAGCTGGGTGAGAAGATGAGCCCTCCTGAGGCCTTCATCGTAATTCCCTCAAGAGTGAGCCTCACTTGCTGACTGTTCAGGAGAAGCTAGAAACCCATAATCTTAGTGTGAAAAAATCTCGATTTTTAACATTGGACCAGATTGAGACACACACAGGTACACAAACACACATTGGTCAGAGAAACAAAGTGCATGTGTAGCATGTACACCACAGTTGATAGCGCCTTGATCAGATTAGTTGCCTGGAAGATAGGTTTATTCTGGGACTGTAAATGTCCTCATAGTATGTTCCTTAAATGCTACCCCACCTGGAAAATAAATAAATAAATAAATAAAGCTTTTGATAAAAGGGGAAAGGTTTCTGGGAGTGGAAAGGGAATTTTCCTTTTAACACTTATACAATTTTTTTTTTTTTTTTAAATCACTAAATCTCTGGCAGCATAGAGGTTACCAGTGGGGCTGCTAACCTCAACAACCAGTGGTTCTATAGAAGAAAAATGAGGCTTTCTGCTCCCGGAAATATTTACAGCCTCAGAAACTCTATAAAGGGTCAATATAAGTCAGAACCAACTTCTGGGCACACTTTTGCCACCACCAAATCTCCATTCCTTTCCCACCCCTGGCTATCACTAGACAACTCTGATTGCTATACATTTGCTTATTGTAGACTTCATATTTTGTTGTTGTTAAGTGTTGTTGAGTCGATTCCGACCCATAGTGACCCCGTATAGGGTTTTCAAGGAGCAATTGGTGAGCTTGAACCGCTGACCTTGCAATTCAAACGACTTTGCAATCTGGTGCATTAACCCACAGTTCCACACCAGGACTCCAGACTTCATATAGGTGGGATCATATATTTGTCCTTTATTTTCTGACTTTGCATGATGTTTTCAAGATTCATTTCTCTTTATTGCTGTGCCATAGTCTACTGTATAGATACCACATTGTTTATCCATTCATCTGCTGATGGACACCTGAGGTCCACCTTTTGGCTACTGAGAAAAACGCAGCAATGAACAATGGTATACAGGTTTCTCTTTGTATTCTTGCCTTCATTACTTCTGGGTGTACACCTGGGATTCGATTGTTGGATCATATGGTAGTTCTATTCCAACTTCTTGAATAACTGCCCAACTGTTTTCTATGGCGACTACCATTTTACAATTCCACCCACAGTGTATGAGTGTTTGTAAACTTTTTTGTGTACTGAAGCAAAAGAAAACCCTGAAGCCTGCTTATTATTAGCCGTGGACACTCTTGCATCATAGGCTGTTACACTGGGAATAACACTAGAGACTCTATGGGGAGAGTCAGTACCTCATGTGGGATTTATATCACATAGTGGCTTCACCATGAGTACTCACAAACATCATACACCACAGACACACTTGTACTCACATACACACACACACATTCACGTGCACTTAAATGCATACAGACACTGATGTCAGGTGTTGGAG